GGGGGGGGATCTCACTTTGCAGGGTTCCATTAAATCCAAAACCTTCTCCCAGCTGAGACTAACATCAAAGAGTGGGCTGGCAGCCTCCATTTCCTCCCGTGTGTTTATGTATCTATATTTCTGTCAGAAGGTCTGTCAGTGCTCGATAAGACTAAATTAAGGAGGTTTTAATACAAAGCTTTTTTCCCTCCTCATGGTGAAATAATGCCTTCTTCTGGTGAAGATTGTGTTTGAAGGAAGTATGATGATAATGAATATTTAATGTACCCCAATAAGCTCACAAACTATTACCAGTGCTTTTGTCTGAAGTTGTTTCATAAGACATTTTGGATTAAGTTCTTTGTGTTTTTAAAAAGTAATTCAGCAATTAAATGATTAATAATAGGCGTTTTCTTTACGCATGTTGTCTAAAATGCTGCATTTGAACAGACGAGCATGAATCAGATATTTTAATCTTTCTTTCCTCTTCAGGTCTCACTGAAGTGCAGAGCTCCAGAGGTTTCCCAGTGCGTGTTCCAGAGCTACGAGGCCGTGCTGAAGAACTGAACAAACTCATCCATCCGGCCGCCGCACCTCACAGAGCTCCCAGCGTCTTCTCCTGTTCTCTCACCCGACCCACGAATGGCGTTCCAGCCTCACGCAGCGCAGGAACGCCTTCCTGCAGTGTCTGACTGCAGCCTTTGTCATCCAGCCCTTCCATTCAAACATTTAATGGTCTGTTGTAACCTTTTAGAAATTCACCTTTTTTTTTGTCTCCCACTAAGGCTGAAAACCTGGGTTCACTCTTTTATTTATTTTTTTTGCCAGACTGTCTCCCCTTTTGTTCGTCTTCACTACATCCTTTAGTTTCCTCGTCTTAAGCGAAAATTTCCGAGCAGCTCTCAGTCCCTCCCTCAGCCATCCAGTAATGACCTTTATTCATTCAGGGACAGACCGGCTGCCAGACTTCTGTCCCTCCATGAGGCTCTGTAATCATTTTCTAGCCCCACTTCTGGGTACATTTCAGTCTATTTTTAGCATCTGCAATCAGCAGGTGAATCGTCACTTTCAGCATATTTGTGGGTTATTTAGGTTGAGGTGCAGGAGAAAGAGGCAGCCTGTCAGGTAGATGTTGGCTGTTGGAACCCAAAAAGAGACATAAAGACCTTAAACCACACTATAGTTTTTTTTTTGTCATTTTCTAGAGTTTTGTGTGTCTGAAGCAGTAGATTTGAATCTTCTACTGTCCCTGAGAGCAGAATGTCTGATGCGCGTGTGGAAACTGTCAGTGTGCTTCTTTACATTTTTACATCAATATATCTGCCCATTTTATAGACTAACAGGTATTTGCTGACTTCTCTTTTGCTTAGTCATTCCATGGTTTCATTTGTGTCTCTGTCTTGTTAGTGTACTTGTTGCAAACTGGGAGAGAGCCTCAGGATGCGAGGACTTTTTTTTCCCTCTCTATTCCTTGTCCGTGCGTCAGCAGCAGCCTCTCGGGCTCTTTGCCACTTTGCTCTTTCTGTGTCCTCAGAGCAGCTCTCCATGTTCCACGGCCACCAGAGATGAAGGCCCAGGTGACATCAACTCATACCATGATTTGTTACATTCTCATGTAGAGGGAGGATATAAAATCCCAAGTGTAGGCAGCGCTGTTTTACCTGGAGCGGGGTGAGAACATCTGAGTTATTTGTTCTGAGCCCTTGTTTTTTTTTTCCATCAGCAGGCATGGATAAGTGCACTCACTCACCTTGATGAAAACCTACCACAGAGGCTGTGTATTCTGACGGCTGATTCAGATTAAATGCTGTATTAATTAATCAAATGTTTTTTGATTTACTTAGTTTTGTTTGTTGTGTGTACAACATTTGAGAAAAATTATTAAAAGTCTTGATGAATCCACAGTGTTGTTTTTCTTCTGTAGCTGCGTCTCTGTGAGAAGATGTAAATTATTAGCTCCGTTTTATTTGCATAAGGTTTTTATAGACCCATGCGTCCACATGTTTTCTCACCAYGTTCTGTCATTATTCTGTGACCTTCTTGGTCACCAGCTGCCAGTTTATCAAACTTAATGTTTAAAGTTTCACAAGCAAACACTGCATGTTCCTGAAGACTGATAAAGTGCCACTAAAAGTGTAACCAGGTCTTCCGCTGGTTGAGCTAACGTGGAACACAAACAAAGAGAAACGTCATTTTGTTCAGTGATGAACTGCTGGTCTGGAAAAGTCAAACCTGAGACCAATGTGGGATCATGTTCTGTAAATGGTACAACAATGATCCTCGGCAATAAAAGCATCCCTACAGTGGGCGCCACCTTGTCTGAAATAATAAAATCTCAATTAAAAGCTGCTACCTAGATAATACTATTCAGTTTGAATTTAGTGTCGATCAGATAATTTATCAGGTCTGTTAATGAGCTTATTTGCTCATAGTGATGTTACAATTTGTTTGGAAACAAATRTTTAGAATTGTCACTTATGAATTTGCAATTTTTAATCAGACTTTGGGTGTTTCTCAATCAGTCAGGCTTTATAAACTGAAAGTTTCATGAAAATCACTGAGGAAAAAATGTGTTAAAAACTATTTTGACTGGTAAAAACACTCCAAGGTGCTGCATGGCTCKTACTGAGCTGTTGCAAAAGACTCGTTAAAAATTAAACGAGGTTCATGTTTTTGATAAACTGGCCAACCTGTAACTACAATATTAAAGTCCCAAACAGAAATTATAAGCACTGGTTTTGGTTTAATCCTCATCGTTTTMCATAATCCACAATTCTCTTACTATAATCTATACCTGTTGGTAAAATTAGACTGTTTTAGAYATTTTCTCTCTGGGGAAACAGACATTTATTTTGTTCTGATTTACATGAGATTTGACAGCTTTATTCATACAGGTAATCTGAACAGATAAATTTTCTAATCTTTAATATTCAGTGTTTTATTCAACGTTATATAATATCTTTGAACAGTTTTGCATCAAACTGATGCCTAAAGACAGGTCATGAAAAATAGAAAATCTGAATTTGTGGCATTGAGAAGAAAGACTGATCTATGATGGATCATACTGGTATTATACACATCAGCTTCAGAATACATGAGCTTTAATGGAACGTTTACCCTGACTTTGAAGTGTTTTTCTGTTTCCCTCAGACCTGTTCATGTAGTGACTGCAGTCACTACATGAACAGGTCCGTGTGTGATGGCACACACGGACCCTGGCCTGCCCCAGAGACACTGCCACGAGCTGTTAAGTCACCAGATATGATGTCCAGTCATGTGTAGGCAACACACACACGCACACACACCATGTGATGATATAGTGTGTGGCCTGCTCCTCTGCCCTGAATGTTGCGGCGTATGGGAGCTCCAGGCTTTCACACGCTTTTGCGCATGACATGATCCTATTGGATGAGCTGTGCAGGGGATATTAGTGATGATAGAAGGAGGAGGAGGAGGTGTGTGTGTGTGTGTGCAGAGCTCCTGTCTCTCCAACACCACACACTCAGCTCCTCATCAGACTCCAGATGCCTTCACAGAGGACGCGCCTCCGTCGGCTCCGTTGATCGCCTTCTTCCCTCGAATCCTCTTTTTTTGTGCGCGTTTGGGAAAAGACAAGGAGGTGTTTCTTCTTCTTCTTTTTTCCTTTTTTTGTGCCATTTCGGAGCACGTGGGAGAGCTGTATTTACGAGCCCCGCTGCTGTGCGCCTTCCTCCCCCCCCCCCCCCCTCCACAGTGATGGTGATGATGGAGGAGCGCGGCGGTGGTCGGTGGCGCATCGCTGGGAGGGAGTGAGAGGAGGCGCAGAGAGGAGATCCCTCCACGAAGACATCGCCAGAGATACCCGGATACGCGGGTAGGATTATGTCCGGGAGGAGGCGGGAAAGGCGGACTTCAATGCTTCCTCTCTGGGGGGAGAGCTTTTGGCTGGGGGTGCCCCCCTAAGAAAATAAAAAAATTAACAAAATAAAACGCAAGAGTTTCCCTTCATTTGCACCATGATGATGATGATGRTGGTGGCGCTTGATTTCTGACTCTCTGCGGTAATCTCACCCTGGGAGATAAAAGTTTCCTCTTTTTCGTTTTTTCTTATAATATTCTGAGACTGCGGGGTTGAATTCCGGAGCAGCATCTCTTTCTCTCTCCCGCTCTCTGCGCGCGCGCGTGTTTCCGGACATCTGTCTCCGCTGCCTGTCGCTGTCCATGGTGCTGAAGCTGCGCTCCAGGGATGGTGGAGACGCTGAGTATCGCGGTGATCGGTGCTCCCGGGGTGGGCAAAACTTCTATCATCCGCCAGTTCATCTATAACGACTTCTCGGAGGCGTACACGCCGACCCGGAGCCGGTACGTGCACCGACCCTCCGTCATCCTGAACGGGAACATGTACGAGCTGAAGGTTTTGGACGTCCCGCCAATCTCCTCTTTCCCCGCGAGCGCCAGTCAGGTGAGGTGCTTCAAATCAGCCAACTTTTATCAACAGGGTGGGAAAATAGGGTCAAGATCCTGCAGCTCAGTTTAGGAAAAAGAAAAAATAACAGTTTGATTTCTTCTTCTTTCGCTATCAGATGTCTTGACTAGTTGCCATGGAGACCGACTTAAAGCCTTGGAGCTTTAGTTGTTGTGAGTGTTGGTTTAACACATTTATTTGTTTGCAATCTGCAGCAACTATTTCTACAGACTTGGTGCTGTTTAATCATTTACCAAACCGATCAGTTCATTCAGATGAGTCCTGCAACTTTTGTACTTTTACACTTTTTAAAAAGACATTTAATCTTTATTTTCAATTATATTTAAAGGTAATCATTGAAACTAATCAAACATAACAGAGGTTGTTCAAACTGTGCAGTATGAAGAAGTTTACTCCAGTTATATTCCTTTACAGCTCATGTTAACAAACACTTAAACTCTTGAGTACACTTGAGTACTGCATACTCAACATCTAAACTGTCGTACTCCTCCATCTCAACCAGTTCAGTGGATGATCTGGTTTCAGTGCCTTCAGCTGTTTCTGTAGGTAAACAAACACATACATGCTTCAGTTGTGTGTGTAGTTAAACAAACACACTTTAGCTGTTTCTGTAGGTAAACAAACACACTTCAGCTGTTTCTGTAGGTAAACAAACACACTTCAGCTGTTTCTGTAGCTAAAAACACACGTCAGCTGTTTCTGTAGGTAAACAGACACACTTCAGCTGTTTCTATAGGTAAACAGACACACTTCAGCTGTTTCTGTAGGTAAACAGACACTTTAGCTGTTTCTGTAGGTAAACAGACACACTTCAGCTGTTTCTGTAGGTAAACAGACACACTTCAGCTGTTTCTGTAGGTAAACAGACACACTTCAGCTGTTTCTATAGGTAAACAAACACACTTCAGCTGTTTCTGTAGCTATAAACACACTTCAGCTGTTTCTGTAGATAAAAAACACACTTCAGCTGTTTCTGTAGGTAAACTCACACACTTCAGCTGTTTCTGTAGGTAAACAGACACACTTCAGCTGTTTCTGTAGGTAAACAGACACACTTCAGCTGTTTCTATAGGTAAACAAACACACTTCAGCTGTTTCTGTAGGTAAACAAACATACTTTAGCTGTTTCTGTAAGTAAAAAACAAACTTTAGCTGTTTCTGTAGGTAAACAAACACGCTTCAGCTGTTTCTGTATGTAAACAAACATGCTTTGGCTGTTTCTAGTAAATAAATATGCTTCAGCTGTTTCTGTAGGTAAACAAACACACTTCAGCTGTTTCTGTATGTAAACAAACACACTTTAGCTGTTTCTGTAGGTAAAAAAAACACACTAGCTGTTTCTGTAGGTAAACAAACACAATATCTACAGAAACACTTTAGCTGTTTCTGTAGGTAATCAAACACACTTCAGCTGTTTCTGTAGGTAAACAAACACACTTCAGCTGTTTCTGYAGGTAAACAAACACACTTCAGCTGTTTCTGTAGGTAAACAAACACGCTTTAGCTATTTCTGTAGGTAAACAAACATGCTTTAGCTGTTTCTGTGGGTAAACAAGCACCCTTCAGCTGTTTCTTTAAACAAAAAAACGTGTTTTAGCTGCTTCTGGTAAACAAACATGTGGCTCAGTGTGTGCACATTGTGATTCGCATCTCTTCTGCTTAARTACACTGATTTCTTCAATAAACGTTTTTTTTGCTTCAGCATACTTACTCTGTTTTTGCCTTGTACTACTTTCAGCTTCTGTTCTGCTGCTCTTATTTTTGTTAGCCTTTAGATGTTTGTAGTTTTATTATTATTTACCATTACCACGGTTTTAACAATTTGCCAAAACTAGCCAGGATTTTATATGGCTTAGTCTTGAAGCTAGTGTTTGCTTTTTTTTTTTAGCTCCTGTTCTGCTATTTTTTTTTTACTTTTAGCTACATTTAGCTAGTTTGAATTCTTGGCTAATATTTTTGCTGTACTTGTTATCTGCTTCTTTTAGCTAATGTTCTGCTTCTTTCAGCTGTACTGCCTCAGTTGTACAGTAGCTTCTTCAGCACTTTCAGCAGTCTCACTACATTTTAGCAGAAAATGCAGTTTCTCCAGTCTGACTACAAACTTTCTCCACCTGCTCACGAGACGAGAATGAAACATTACGATCAGTCATAAACTGTCCTCAGTAGCCCTGAAAAGACGCGTTCAGGCGTATTCAGATGAGTTGATTATTTATGCTGCTGCTGAGGCACCACTTTAAACTMTTCAAAAATAGAGCAGACTGGCCTTTATTTCATGGCCACAGGTCATCTGCTGCACCTAATTAGTCGAAGACGCAACTGAATGCAGAATTGTGGTGGAACAAAAAGAATAGATTTGTCTTTTTCTTCTGTAAAAACAGGAGACTGAGGCTGTTGTTTTTTTTGACGTTCCTGTTTTCTCAGCTGCTGTAACTCTTTTTCCGCCTGCACTTGATCTCATTCAGCGCTGCAGTTCTGTGGGAAAACATCTTTTTAAAAGTGTTGTATATGAGGCTTCGCCAGCTTGACTTAGTTTTGGGTAAATCCTAAATCCTGCCTTTGTACTGCTGTTCCTCCACTGTGGAAACACAAAGAGGGATTTTAAAAAGCTTGTAACTCTGGAAGAAACCTGCTTAATTTGTCAAACCCAGAATCAGACATGTTTACAGGACATTTTATTATCAGGTGATTTCAGCGACAGTATATCCTTCTTCATAATGTGTGGTCCTTGGAAATAAAATTAAAAAACACACACACTTGTGTTGACTTGCAGTGCATGTTTGCCCCCCTCTGCAGCCTCGTTTTAAAGGCTGTGATGCTTTCCTGATAAAAACCTCCAGGGTCGACACACCAACCTGTCAATTACTGCGGCTGAAAAATCTCTCCTTTTTCTTTCACCTTCACAGTAAAGCTGTAGTTGTCTGGCCAAGATGGGGGTGCAGCAAATGAGCAGCTTGAAAGGGGAAGGTGTGTGTGTGTGTGTGTGTGTGTGTGTGTGTGTGTGTGTG